CATTCTCAGAACTTTTTGAAAGGTCTTAATTTTTCAGCTATTTGCAGATTTCGGGGGAAAGACACCCTTTTTTCTCAGTTTTTGTGCTGAAAACGTGAAAAACAAGTGTCTTTTAAAAATCGGCAAAAAACAGGAAAACTATAAGTTTTCGAAAAACTCTATGAATGCAAAGTTTTCAACCTAGGTCTGTTTTACACTCTCCAAAATTTTCAAAGTGATCGTAAACTAGACAGCAGAGCTCCAGGCTTCTGAAAATGGTCAAAATCAACTTAAAAAAAAAGATTTTTGTACATCTTATTGACCGGTACTGCATTTATGACTCACTTTTCAAAGTTGAAATCGGAGCTGTTATCAATCGTGAAAATGGTTGAGCGGGAGCACCTTGACAAATAAACATGTTTCGTTTGAATGATTATTAATCAGAAAATAATATTTATAATCCCCTAAACTCTAAAATCAGTACGATCTGTTGATAATTTTGCCACGAAAGTTTAACAACAACACGAAATCTTTATTCAAATCACAATTTTTTTGTTCAACGCAGATTTCAGATTTTCATTCAAAATCATAAGTCTTCTCCTGGATCTTGGCTTTCTTGAGACTCGCAAATTTGACTCTTTCTCTGATAATTCGCTCTCTTCTCAATTCTGAATCCTCTCCTCTCACAAAATACGTCATCTGTTTTCCTTTTCCTTTCATTTCAACAATTCCACGTTCCTCCATCACATAGCCACCGAGTTGGTCCAAAACTTGTTTCGCGGATTCTGAGCAATTGATACGAAGGGCTGGAAAACTTTTAGAATAAAGTACCCGCCAAAGTATCCTAAAATTCTGCCTAAAAGATCTGGAACTTCTAGCGATTCTAGGAGCCGAGATAGAGCTGCTCCAAATTAAAGAGGCTAGTGACGCAGACGACGAGACACACTGCGTCTCTAACCTCGGAAACTTCAAATAACCGTATCTCGAGTTCTAGATGAGCTAGGAAGTTGGTTTTTTTTGCAGAGTAGCACAGTTGGAAATGGATTTTCAGATCATTTATAAACAAAAGCTTTTGTATGGAAAACGTTTTCAGCTATTTGCCAATTTCTGAAAGGCTCGTTTTTTTACCAGTTTTTGTACGTCCTTCAGACATCCGCAAATTGCTGAAAAACTAGGAATTTTCAAAAAATTCTGTGAATGCAAAATTTTTTAACTAGGTCTGTTTTACATCCTCCAAAATTTTTCAAGTGATCAGAAATTTGACAACCGAGCTCCAGACTCTTGAAAACGGTCGAATCTGAAAACTCACGAATTCCATTACTTTCCATTCGACTTGCAGTGTTCACAGTGTCTCCAAACAGACAATAACGGGGCATCTGAAATTTGAAAATTCAAACGTTTAATTTTTTTTAATTTTCGAAAAACCTTCAATCCAACAACCCCAGCGACACAAGGACCAGAATTCATACCAATGCGGAGACGAACTTTTTCATTTGGCAGATGACGGATTTTGAAAGCCTGGAAATAAAAGTTTTGGGATGATTTTGTGCTGAAAATCATGTAGATTCACATTTTAAAAAATTCCTTAAAGGAGGCCAGACGTCAAAAAGAAAGTTTTTTCTGGTATTTTGCCTAGAGAGCCCCCATGAGGAGTCGAACTCATGCCGGCAGCTTAGGGTTACAGCACCGCTACCGGTTGAGCTACGGGGGCGCGAATGCGTCTGCCGACCGATGTCCTACATAAGCACGGTGCGATTTCGTCCCCCAAACTTTTTGCTGTCTCACCTCCTTTAATTGAAAAAAAAACGCATCAAAAAATAGCACTTTTCTTTCTTAAGAAATGCGCCTTCAAAGTTTGGTGCTCCTCATGGGCGCGCACTAACTTTGAAGGCGCATAACTCAAAAACTACGGTAGCTATTCGAAAGGAGTAAATTACAAAAATTTAGGAAATTTTATGCCCATCAACTTTGCAGTTGACAGATTTTTTGATAGCTAATCCAGTTTTTGAAATATGCTCATTTGATCATTGTGTACGCGCCCTTATGATGACTAGGAGGGTGCGCAAACTTTAAAGGCACATAACTCAAAAACTACGGTAGCTATCAAAAAGTAATAAACTTTAAAAATATGTAACTTTTTATGCTGAGCAAATTTGCATATGATAACGTCTTGATAGCTAATCTAGTTTTTAAGTTAGGAATCTTTTAAGGTCGCTCTTCCGCGGACGCGGGGGACTAGAAAACTCAAACTGCTTTTCTTTCATTTTTGGATTTTTTTTCAAACTTAAATAAATTACATCAATAGCAGACAACAAAGCCAATCCCAGCGACGCTATCTCCCCAGCATGATGATTTCCATTTGGGACCGGTAATCCAGAAGCGACCATGTAAGCGTCAGCGATAGTCTCCACTTTATAGACATCGAATTGATCGATAATTCTATCAAAGACCGTGTACAAATCATTCAAAAAGTTGACAATATCAATTGGTTTACTCGTTGCCGACATCTCAACAAAACCTGGACAATCCGAGAAAAAGACAGTGACACTTTCGAAACTTTCTGCTGAGACATTGGATCCCAATTTCAAACTGTCCGCTACCACTCTGAATTGAAAGCTCATAAATTTGTCCCAAAAAAGAGGGCTTACTCCGGAAGCATCATTTTAAGAAGCATCTCACTCTTTTCCTTTTCTCTCTCCAATTCCTCATTTCTTTCAGCGATATCTCTTTCCAACTTGTCTGTCAACTTCTCGATGATCGAAACCATGTTATCCATTATTGTGCGTTTTCTAGAATATTTCAGGTTAAGCATCATTTATCTCAAATTCCATTGGAGATAAAAAATAGATGCCAACTAATAAAATGTTGATTTTAACCTTGTAATAAGTTCATTTGTCTACAAATTTTTTATTACTATCACAGGTAACTAAAATAGAGGGGTTTAAGTAGGGGTAGTGGTTTTGCACACAAAATTATACTTGCCTTTGAACCCAATTATCTCGGTTCCGATAAGAGATATAAAAAAATTGTCAGCTGATAAAATTTTTCCATAGTCTCATCAATTTTTTAACAGTAGACACATTTGTGATATCTTTTGAAGGAACCGAGATAATCAAGCTCGAAGTGCAAGTGGCGAATTTTCAATTTGAAGTGAATCGCTAATTTAAAGCGTTTTGCTTCTATATAAGTGTAATGTTTAGACTCACAATCCAACTGTCAGTGGCTTCAACTTCCTTTTAATCTGGAACAAGGACGGGCGGTCTAGGGGCTCTTCAGTCCACGCAGCCGCTACCGTATCCCTAACAATCTGTGGTGCCTCTTTGATAACCGCAAGGTCCGGACGGAACACTTTTTTGCCAGATGACGGGAGTCGTTTGACACAAGACACAATTTCTGGAACCATTTTCTGATAATTTTAACAGCTTCCTAGGATACCTCTCGGCTCCATGGGCTCATCTCCCCAAGGTCCCAATCTTCCAAAAAGTTCATAGAGCACGATAGACAAACTATAGACATCTGCCTTCTGGACTAGAAGATGTCCACATTGCCCAAGGCCTGTACTCCATCTTAGCAACTCCGGAGCAGTCCACAAATCATCTTTTCCTTCTTGGACACCTTCTTCCCGTTGCCACTCCTCTTCTGATCTCATCTCACGAAGTCCAAAACTGGAGAGTCGAACCATCCATCGACCATCAATCAAACAGTTTGTAGACTTGAGTCTTCCATGACAACCGATTGGAGAGGAATGGAGATATTCCAGACCTGCGATGATATCCTTTGTCATTTGACTTCTAAACACGTCGTCTAGTGCCATGTCTTCATTATCCAGAATATCCTTCAACGATCCTCTTTGAGCCAACTCATGAACCAAAAACACATCTGGAGAGTGAATCACCATTCCAACGAATTCCAGTGTATTCGAGTTAGTGGCCTCTAGCAACTGAGCAATCTCCAATCGAACATTTCTAGTCAACTCCACATCCGTCCTATAGATTCTCTTCAATCCAATCATTCTTCCTTCAAACAATCCAACTCCAAACTCCTTCAATTGATGCCATTTTTCATCTTCCGAGTTTCCAGGCGACACTCCGAATCCTGGGAATTGACCGAATGGGTTAGCACGGGCGGTGGATCCCGTGTGGAAGATCGAGGACATTTGAGAGGAGTCTTGTGGTGGATGGTTACCGTAATCCTCGATGAAGAAATGAGAGTCTCGAAGGGTTTGGGACTGAAAGTGTTCATTATACAGTACCTAGTCCCCGATTAAACTTACCGCTGCCGCAAAACTTCCATGAATACTTGCCATACTTCTCAGACTTGCTTGACTCATCAGATTGGTGTGTTTCTTCAGAATAATCTGATTTCGATCGATCATAAAAAACAGCGAGTGCAATTTTCGTTCATATCGATAACGTCTGAAATTTCAGTCATACCTCTAGTCCCTATTCAATCTAAGGCTTCCATTCGATCGAGAAATTTAAGCAACCGGCCGACCGATCGGTCAGCTCGGTCGGCTGTCGGTCGGTCGCTCATTTTCGACAGGCCCATATAGAAGCCTAAACTTACTTGTACAAGAAAGCGGCTGCAATTGCTAATCCTATCAGAATCGCGACTCCAACAGAGATCACTATGATAAACGTATTATTCGTTGCCGGACCACAATTCTCTCCATAGAAACCACAATCCGGTGTATCTTTGGGAGCGGATTTATTCACAAAATCAATCGATAACCCTTCTGAATAATCTATCAACGCCCACTGAGTGTTTTTGAGGGATGTTTGACCCAAGCGAGCACATGGAAAAAGTCCATATGCATTTCGATTGGAACTGGAGAAGTGATAGTAGACTTGCATGGAGCCAACGATTGCTCCGAAGCCGTCAACGTATTCTGTGACTCCGGTAACACCTAAAAACGATTTTCAACGTGCAGAAGCTTTAGAAAAGGTGTTACTATTGATCTGTCGACTGATCATGTATTCGTAGAAAATTGAAGATTGGTAGATGTTGGATCCAACTCTCAAAGCGTCATTTGTAGCATCAGCCAAGTATTGGACACCATCGAATAGCAGTTTTATACGGTCCCATCGAGGAACAACTTTCTAAAAATGCTTGATAACTGAAACTATATTTGCTCCAACAGGAGCCAACCCTGTAAGTACACTTTGAGCTCAATTATTGCGGTCCCTATAAGAGATTTCAAAAAATGTTCAACTGATAAAATTTTTATCATATTATCAGCAATATTTTATCAGTTAGCAAACTTTCGAAGGATCTAATAGAAACCAAGATAATTGGATTCAAAGTGCACCTATACGGTAACTCTCAATTTCAAACCCTACCTCCGATATCGAAGTGTTACAAAACGGTGGACAAACTTTCATTGCCTTCTTCTCCGTCACTTGATTTTTAATCTCTTCCCATGTAGAATTCGGTTCCGCTGGTGGCGGTCCATCCGTCAAAACAATGAAATTCTTATACACCTCATGAAGATCATTCTCAGTTAAATTGTAATCATTGATATCCATGGATCCCAAATGTAGAAGACGTTGATCTCTAGAAGAAGCTTCCAACCATTGGTAATTGTTGTTATAGGCAATGTAGCCAATGACGAAATACTCTCCGGATTGCATTTTGTTGAGCTCGCCGAGTTTGAAAAGATAGTTTCGGAGGAGATTGGCGTTGGAGGAGAAGTCGCAGATTATGAAAACTGGAAATATGAGAATTTTGAGATTCTGAGACTCAAAAAGATATTACTTCTAGCTTTCTGAGCATCATCTTTCACTTTTTCAGTAAAATCTGCCATTGGATCCAAACGAGAGTCAACCTGAATGTCAATCTTGTTTACCGTCAGTGCATCTGAAATATTCCCGAATTTTTGAATTTTGAAGTTTGATTTTCAAGAAAATTCGAAAAGATTTCTCGTCTGTCGAAAGCTAGTGAGCGCCGACCAACCGCCGACCGACCGGCCGACCGTGTTTGTGCATATAGCTGCGAAACACTATCTTGACGCGCAAATGTACGGATTCGATCGGCTGACTGTCGGCGGTCGGTCGATCGGCTAAATTTCGACTGACCAACCGCGACCGCCGACCGCCGACCGACCTATAGCCGACCGCCAACGAATCGCCGACCGACCGCCGACGGACCGATTCGGGTTCGCGGTCGGTCAGTGGTCGATCGATCGGGTGATATTCCTCACCAAATGGAAGCCTTAATTCAAAAGTTGGAATTCCCGCCAAATAGATTTTCAAGAAAATTCGAAAAAAAATTAAATTTCGCGCGGGACCCTCTTACCTAACAAATCCGATCTAACTCTTGAATCAAATGCACTCAGCGTCGTTGACGGTGAAACCAGTGCCACCTTTTTCCAGTTATATTTTGTCAAAAAGTAAACCACAGACTGAAATTAATTGTTTTAATTAGAAGATAATTAACCGTCACCTTGGCCAGCGAATTTGTCTGCGAGTTCATTAATACGGTAGTCTGATCAAATCCTTTAACACTAGACAAATCCATTTCACATATCTAAAAACTCTTTAGAATTCTCTTGAACCCTTGAGAAGGCTCACATCTGAAATTCCAATTTTCGCATTAATATTCAACACTGTACTCTGAATATAACAGTCTCTGGACAACCCCATCACTGCCATCGTCGTATTGTTCACCGCTGCGTTTCTTGCAGCCATTGGTCCCGCGATTTTGGAAGTGTCCACATAGTTAACAGATAAGTTGTGAAAAACTTCAAGATCCTTATTAGCGTTTATACGGTCCAGAGCAATTTCCATAGCAGATGGAATATATCCAGCTCCTGGAAACACATTTTACTGTAAGAACTTTCTGATAGAATGCCCCAAGCCGTCTACTTTGAGATTAGTTATCTCATTTCTTTTAAAAGATATCAAAAAAGTGGTCGACTGATAAAATGCTCATAATAATATCAAGCATATTTTGTCAGTGAACAACTTTACGATATCTTTGACAGGAACGAAGATAAAGTGGCTCAAAGTCCTGACTCATCAAGACTCAAGGTCCTGACTAGTACTAGTGAGTATTTGTCCTACGACACTCCTCTATCCCACTTTCTTAACTTTATATAGCTTAATCAGTGGGGAAATGGAGTCAGGCAAGTCAGGCTATTAGGGGTTTGCAAAAGTAATGCGCGTCAAGTTTGGTGTTTTGTATCTCACCCAAAACAAACGGTTTGTGTTCAATTTTTTTTTGTTTTAAAAAACGCGTTCTTGGGCTTCATTTTGTTATATTATATTGCTGTTTCAATTTGATTTCTATGAAAAAAAAACATTCTAGAAGATGTCCGACCAAAAATTTCGCCTTCGAGCATTTTTGTGGCACCAATTTAAGGAAGGAAAATCGGCTGCCGAAGCTCACCGCTTACTTTCTCCTGTATTCGGTGAAGAAGCTATATCCGAAAGTCAGTGTCGCCGCTGGTTTCAGCGCTTCAGGAGCTGAGATGAAAGATTGGAAGATGAATCGCGCCCTGGTCGTCCAGAGCAGGTGGACAACGATGCCTTGAGAGCAGCAGTTGAAGTGGATCCTTGCCAAACTACTCTCAGTCTCTCGGAGCAGTTCGACTGCGATTTTTCTACAATTTCCAGACATTTGCATGCAATCGGAAAGACAAACAGATGTGGAAAATGGGTCCCTCATGAGCCTTCCGATTCGAACAAGGAAAGACGTGTTGAAGTTGCCAATATTCTGATGCGCCGCTCCAAAAATCGTGGTTTCTTCTATTCGATTTTGACATCGGATGAGAAATGGATTCAGTGGGACAATAATGGGAGAAAAAAATAGTGGCTGAGTCCTGGCGAGACCCCGAAACCGACTCCAAAACCGGACATCCACGGAAAAAAGGTGATGATATGTGTCTGGTGGAACACACGAGGTCTCGTGCATTTTGAACTTCTGAGAACTGGTCAAACGGTGAATGCGGACCTTTACAAAGATCAGCTGGACCGTGTGGACCAAGCTCTCAAACGCCAAGGCGTGGACACTTCGACAACACTCTTGCTCCATGACAACGCTCGACCACACACTGCAAAAATCATTCAGCAGAAAACTCAGGAGCTGGGCTGGGAAGTGCTGCCTCATCCGCCATATAGTCCCGATTTGGCACCATCGGACTATCACCTATTCCGATCCATGCAACATCATCTGGCCGAGAAAAAATTCGAAAGCGGTGAAGAAGTGCGAATTTGGGTGGCGGACTATTTCGAGTCACAGCCAGATGAGTTCTTCAAGAAAGGCATCGCTGAATTGCGCACACGTTGGCAGCCAGTAATGAACAATAATGGAGAATATCTTATTGATTGATGATCTCTTGTTTTGGTTTTACAATAAAAGGAAGTTGCATCAAAAACGCGCATTACTTTTGCAAACCCCTGATATATTGTACAGAATAATACTCCGTTGGGTCTGAATTACTACCGTAAAACCGTAATAAACCGTAATTAAGGGACCGGAACCACTGTTAACTTTGAGCTCAATTATCTCGGTTCCTAGGAGAGACGTAAAACATTTGTCAACCGATAAAATATTGGTGATATTATTGTGAAAAATTTATCAGTTGACAAGTTTTTGATATCTTTCCTAGGAACCGACATATTTTGAGGTTGAACTAAATAGCGGTCACCTTCCACAACCCTCTTTTCATTCCTTGAAAGATAACCGGAATATCGTTATTGCTATAACAGAAACCAACCCTATGAGTGTACTTTGAGCTCAATTTTCTCGATTCCTATAAAAAACATCAAAAAGTAATCAACTGATAGAATACTCATCATAACATTAACAATATTTTGTCAGTTGACAGATTTGCGATAGCTTTCATAAGAACTGAGATAATTGAGCTCAAAGTCCAGGGCTTATTTGCGAGCAACTACGGTAGATAACCTCTAAACTACAGTATACCTTCATCATCACAACTGGTACCAGTTGCACATCCGAACGGAGCCAAGTAGTCGACCTTGAGCGGGAAATAAATGATAATATCCTCCAACTCAATCTTATCAAAATTCCAGACAACATTTGGAAAAAATAGGAGGAAAAGCAGCAGAAAAACCATTGGATTCTCTCTAAATGGGGTCTTTGGAATCTAGAAAATTTGAAAAATAGGGGGGATGGGCTGGAAATCCGGAAATTGAAAAAAGTTATATTTTTTAGTTTGAAGTCAATAGAGTTTGAAACCGGAAATTGGAAATTTTTAGTTTTGAAAACCCACACAAGACCGGAAATTATATTTAGTCATGTGCTGGATGATTATTTTGACGAATTCGGAAAAAATTTATATTTTGAAACTTTGAAAAAATGAGGGAATTTTGGCAATAGAAAGATTTTGAGGGAGTAAAAAATTCAGGAAATTTCTGGAAGAAAAAAAATGGGACAGAAAAATGACAGTATGAAATTTTTAAAAAAGTAAAGTTTTGGAAAAAAAGAAAAAAAGACAAGTCCGTACAATGAGAAAGTACCGGTTGAATAGAAGAGATTTTCAAGTGAGGAGAATATTAATTTTGGCGGGAAATTCAAATTTTTAAAAAAATCAAGTTTTCAAATCAATGAAGTCTGTTGATTTTTGTTCTCCTGGTCGTTGATCCATAGCACTGCTGAACGTTTTGCCGGAGCACCAAGGATGGTCTGGAAATAAAAAGTTTGGGATTTCGAAACCAAAATTATGGTCATTTCAGAATTTCAGAATTCAGAATTTTTCAGAAATACAGATTCTCAAAATTTCATAACTTCGAAATTTAAGAATTTCAGAATGTCAAGATTTCAGAATCTTAAAATCTCAGAGTCTCAAAATCTTAGAATCCCAGAATCTCGAATCTCGGACTCTCAGAATCTCAGAATCTCAGAATCTCAGAATCTTAGAATCCCAGAATCTCGAATCTTAGAATCTCAGAACCTCAGAATCTCAACATCTCGGATTTTCAAAACATCGAAATTCCAGAATTTCAGGATCTTGAAATTTCAGATAATCAGAAATTCAAAATTTCAGAATTTTTCAGAATTTTGAATTAGATTCCCAGAATCTCAGATATTTAGAATCGCTTTTTTTCCCTAAAATTTTACCAAACTTTCCAATTTTTTTTCGGATTTTTTAAAAAATTTTCTATTTTTTTAGAGTTCTTTGGTTTCTAAACTTTTTTTTTCAAAATGTCAATTTTCAGAAATTTTCGAAATTTTCGAATTTCCAGGATTTTCTTCTGGAATTTCTAGGTTTCTAAATTTTTGAGCTTTTTAACTCTGAGAATTTTAGAAACTCTGATTTTGAAAATAGCACAATCTTAAACGAGAATCTCAGAATTTCAGAATCTCAAATTCCCAGAATCTCCGAATCTCCGAATCTCAGAATCCTTTCATACCTTTTTCAACGTATTCCGGAAACTGGTCCCAAAAATGAAATAGCAAAAGAAATTCGCCGTCCCATTCACTACCACCAACAAGTTCGACAGATCCACAAAATAAACGAGCATTGTCTGAAAATAATACTCTCACTTTTTCAAAAATAAAGCCATAAAATGCTTACCGGGTCGTCGAAAATTATCTCCATAAAATTGACCATAAGCGCTGTGAAATTGCAGAAAATGAAGAAAAACACGACGAGAATAAGAGAGATGGTGTCGTCTTCTGGAAAATTGAATTTCAGGAATTTTCGAGAAAAATTTTTTTTTTTTATTAAAAAAAAATTGTTTCTGAATTTTTTTTGATTTTAGAGATTTTCACAATTTTTTTAGTTAAAAAAATGATTTCGAAGTTCGAAAAATCAAATTTTGAACATAGGAGAAAAATAGATATCATGAGTCACAACTCATCAAAAAAATTATCCAATCTGTCTCAAATCTCTAGGGAACGTGTGTCGTGAGTTGCCTAACAAGTTGAGCGCACTATTTTCAAAACTCACAATCGGAACAAATATTTTCAACCATTGGAATACTCTCTATTGCTAAAGAGAAATAGTTTGCATAAAAAATGTGGTCTTGAGTTGCCAATTTTTGTAATTACTTCTTTAAGGAACTTATGAAACACATTTTCTGTAGTTCTGAGCCTGATAGAAGCATTTTCAGGTGAGTTTCGTATTGATTTTATTAAAAAAAGACGCAAAACTTTTGTTGCCGAAAATCGCCGAAAGTTGCCGAAATTGCCGAAATTTTTTTTCGGCAATTGCCGAGTTGCCGAACGTTGCCGAAAAGTATTCGGCAAATTGCCGAGTTGCCGAATTTCCGAAAAAAAATTGTTGCCGCACAGGCCTGGTCAGTAAGCGGTCAATCAGAGTTCTTAAAATTACCTCCATTTTCCTCATTACTTCCTTTGGTGACAACAGTAAAAACGACACAAACATTGAGAAGAATTAGAAGAGATAATGGTCCAATTGCCAGAAAAGTTGTGTACATATAAGTGTAATAAATTGCATAGTAAGCAGCATCCAGACGAATGTCAGTGGGACAAATTTGCATTGAATCCAGGCCGTTGTCATCTAGACAATCGACTTTTTCCAGTTCGAAGAAATGGGGGACATTGTAGGCACAGCAGATTACGAAAAGGATCAGGCAGGTCATTTTGGCGCGTCTGGAAATTTTTTTTGGTAACATTGAAATTCAAAAAGTTCTTTTAGAATTTCAGAAATTCTGAGGTTTTGAATTTGGAAACTACGAATTTCGCAGATTTCGAATTTCACAAATTTCTAATTTTTGAATTTCGGAATATCTGAGTTTCAAAATTTCAAAATTTCAAAATTTCAAAATTTCTGAATTTCTAAATTTCTGAAATACAGAACTTTTGAATTTCTGAATTTTAAAATCTAAAGATTTGAATGTTTCAATTTTTTCAATTTTCCAAGTTTTCAAAGTTTCGAAAAGTACAAATTTCAAATTTTTTGCACTTTGAAAATTTCGAATTTTAAAAGTTTTTCCAATTCCAGAAATCAGAAAAATTTGGAATTTTTGTAAGTTCCACAATTATTGAAAATTTGAAAAATTCGAAAACATTTTGAAGTTTTTTTCTCAAAAATACAAAAACTCGAAACTCGAGATATTCAGATGTTCAGATATTCAATAATTCAGAACTTGGAAATTTCGAATATTCAGAAATTCAGAAATTCAGGAGTTCAGAAACTCGGGAAGTTCGAAAACTCAAAAAATCAAAATTCAAGAATTCAAAAAAAAAGATCCCGAAAAACTCAAAAACTGAAAAATAAAGTAATTCTGAAGTTCGAAAATTCGAAAACTCAAAAGTTCAAAATAGTTCAGAAACTCGATAATTCAAAAAGTTAGAAATTGAAAATTGGAAAAAGAATTCGTCCGAATTTCAGATTTTCAGAACCTTTAAGAAATGAAATCACAAAAAGTTTTAAACATTTCAAAACCTCTTCTCTCACTCACCTCGGTGTACAATAGAGCACTTTTACACTTTCCGGAAGTACCACCACAATGAAACAATCGACAGCAGCAGCAACACAAAAATACACGGAACTCGTTTGAAAAACCGCGGCCACTGGAAAGACTATGGGAGCTCCGATGACGTATAGATATGCCAGAGCTGAAATTTAAAAAAATTAAACGAAAAAAGCAATTTCTGAAAACAAAAAAAAACAAGTTGCAACCCAATGGAGTCGAACCTGCACCAAAAGCGCATAATAGTGGCGTACGTTAGCCACTCGGCCACGGCGGTCGCTTACCCCACCAGACACGAAAGGAGTACACATTAGGCGCGCTTGTCCAAGGCGGCTAGGCGAGCTAGCTATTCCTGTTGAGAGATTTTAAAAAATTCGAAATTCACTAAATTGCAAAATAATTAGAAATCCACTTACTCGGATAATCATGATGTCTCCATGCCTCCAGTACAAACAAAAACATGGCAGTGAGCACCAAAAAGAAGTCGGAGAATCCCAACGCCGCTAGATAGATCGACGTGGAATGGATCTTAAATTTCAGATTTTTTTAAAATCTGAAGTTCAAACAAAAATTCAAATTACCGCCAGTTCAGGATGCAGATAGGTTTTAACAACCAAAATGTTTCCAATAAGTCCAATCATTCCGACGATAGCCAGAAGGACTCCAGAAACCGCTAGGTTGTAGGTCTGGAAATCTCATTTATAGTGGCCTAGATACTTAAAAAATGGGAAACATGGACTATTAAAACCTTACCAAGTACTCAGGGTCTGTGGATCCCAGGCAAGAATTACAGAATATTGGAGGCGGCTCGAAGTTCAACATTTGGCTGGTAGAGGCTTCCATTTTTGGTCTTTAAAGGATCCTTTCTGGATTCTGAAATTCCCAAAAAATGAAATAAAATGAGCTACAAGTCAAAAAGTCATCAGAAAAAAAGTGGCGAAAAGAGAAAAGACACAGGAGCTAATTGAATTTTGATGCCTCCCCTTTTCCATATCCCTCTTCCTTAATGTAGTATTTAATTCCAAAAAAGTGCGAGTACATGCCAAAACACATCGGAATACCAATGAGCTGATCCGTGACAAACTATGGGGGCAGGAAAAGTGGAAAAAAAGTGGAAAAATGATTTTTTTGGGTCATGTCACCGATTTGAGAAGTTTTTGGTATCAAAATGTTGGAAATTTTTTGAAAATCACGAAAATCGGGATTAAAGTTTTTTATAATCAAGGCGCAACGAGTTATGGTCAGATCACCTATCGCGCAAAACTAGGTTGCTTGCGCATTTCATGCAATCGTTAGCGCCGCTAGGCCTTCGTTTTTTCTATGAATTAATTTCGCATTTAACGAGGTTTTGCAGGTTTTTCTTGAAAATTCCGCTGAAAACAGCCATTTAAAAAATAAAATAGGTTTTTTCAGATTTTTTCCATATGGAAACTCCCTCGGATTCCTCGAAAATCATCGAAGAACAGGTATTTCTAAATTGTCGATTTTTGAAAAATTCTAAAAAATTCCAGAAAGCAGAAAAGTCGGAAGAAACAAGTTCAAAAGCTGAAAAAGTGAGTTCTTCTTATTTTTAGTCTTCAAAACAAATGATTTTCAGCGGAAAACCGCGGAAAAATCGGATTCTTCGTTGATAAAGAAAAAGAAGTACGAGGACCCGAATAAGAAGGTGGATCCGTTGAATGAGTTGCCAATGAAAGTTCCGTTCAAGATTATTGATGGTAAATTTTGAATGTTTTCCTGGAAATGTTGCCGCAAATTTAATAAAAAGGAATTTTTTCCGAAGAAAAAATTGTTTTCAAAAAAATTTTTTCATCATAAATCGAAAAAAAACTTGTTTTATGGCTAATTTGAATTCGAAATTTGCAAAAACAAAACCCTATTTTTCACTATAATGTTCCAGGAATCCGTCACCTGTCCCCATACTGGTCTTGCTACCGTACCCGTACCAAGGGTCGATGGATTGGGCGAAAAATGGTCGAGGTATTTGCCGGAGAGTTTCTTTCAACGAACAAACACTATGCGGTTAGTGGAATTCTCAAAAAAATTTTGAGAGGAAAATTCTAGAAATCCCACGAAATCTAAAAAATCTCATAAATTATCCAGGCGGCGCATCCCCCTCATTTTCCGGAATTTTCAGATTTTTCTCATCTGATAAAAAGTTTCTAAAATTACTCCCTAGTGAATCAAAAATCTCTAAAATCCAAAAAACCGCCAAAAATTTGGCTCTTTTCGGCTCTCGGAACGGGAGGAGACGACAAAAATCAGGGTGGCGTGAAATTTGAAAAAAAAAACGAAAAACACTTGAAAAAATAAAGAAGAAGGAAGTTGAGAGGGGGAGAAGGGAAACACCAAAAAAACCGAAAAAAAAGGAATTTTTAAAAAATTGGGCTGAAAGAGGTGTGATGGAGAGCACGTTTAGAGCTATAATTATGTGTGTGGAAAATAGAGAAATAGGGAGAGAGAAGTAGATATTTTTCAACCTTTTCCGAATAATATGCAAATTCTGAACCCTAAAACTCCAATTCAGTATCGAGAATTCGATTTTTACTGAAAAAAACCAATATTTCGAATTGAAATTTTAAAAATTTAGACCATAAAAATTGAAAAAAAATATTTTTTTTTCCAAAAGTGTCTAAAAATCATGAAACATGATCTAAAATCCATGAAAAATTATCAGAAATCCATAAAAAATGGTTCAAAAACTGTGAAAAATTGTTCAAAGTAGATGAAAAAAGGTCCAAAAATCTTGAAAAATGATTCAAAATCTATAAAGAATGGCTCAAAATTGTTTAACATGCTTCGAAATCAATGAAAAATTGTCCGAAAATATCTTATACAGCTCTGATTTTTTTTTGTACTAGAATATTACGAAAATTTCCTGAAAATTGCATCTTGAAATGGCAGAAATTCAGAGAGAAGAAGTTTTAAAATTATTTAAAAAATCTTAAATTCGAAAAAATAAAATTCAAGCCAACCGAGTGAAAGGCAACTACAGAATACGATTTTTCTGGAAAATCATGAAAAAAAATTTCAGTAAGCTAAAATTTTTTCTTCTGACTCATACTCAGTGTAATCACTCAGTGCAATGAATCAAAAAGCCTTAATAATAATATATTTATTTGCAATGCATGGGGGGGGGGGGGGGGGGGGAAATCGATAGATAATTTGGCAAGAAATGGGACCTGTACAAATAAAAAAGTAAAATGACCAGACGGACCGACTAGAGTCCTGTAGGTCAAGTGGGAGGGATCAGAATATCATAAGGAATCGCTCCTACTCGCTTAGCAAACGCCACCGGACTGAGCTTAGTATTTATCACCTTACATACACGGTTCCACGTAGACAAGTTTCTGTGAAGGAAGCAGTCAAAGTATTGACCGTTGATTTTGAACAAATACGGGGCTCTGTTAGAATGGCTGGGAAGAATGTAGGACGACATAAAGGGAAAATGGTATGAGTTTATAACAATTTTGTGATAGGTACGAAGAACTAGAAGGGTGGTTAGCATAGAGAACTGGGATAGGCGATCGGTGTATGAATTGAAGGGCATATTACATCTCTGAAAGACTTTTCTGGTGAAATAACGAAGAGGAGATTCTAGTTTATTGGCAAGTGTGTCCTTCTTATTCCTACAAAAGTGACACATTTTCTTCTTCTTCTTTAGCCTAAGGCCTTAGGCGAAATATCCACAAAACCATATACAGAAGCACTAATTGAATATGGCTTATACACTCTTCTTATTCACTTTTTTATCCATTTCTTCTGTATGTCAAGACACAAAAAACACATTAAAAGTGACGATCCCTTTTTCTCCTTACCACGCAATTCGCCTGAAGGGAAAGGAGAATTCAGTAAATGTGATTTTTGAGAAAAAAAACATAGAAGAAAAGCTAAAGTTCTAGAAGATGTTTTTTGTGTTATGGGATTCTGGGGGATTTTTAGGAAAACAGAATTTTGAAATTTGAAAAAATCTCAAATTTTCAATAGTCGAAAAATAAAAAAATTTTAAAAACCTCAAAAATTTCAAATAAAATCCTCAAAAATCAAAATTTTCAAAAAATGTCAAAAATCAAAATTTTTGAAAAAAAAATCCTACAAATCAAAAATTTTTGAAAACCCTCAAAAATCATAATTTTTCGAAAAATCTCGAAAATTTTCGAAATTCGAAATTCACCAAAATCTGAAAAATCAAAATTTTCAGAAAAATCCCAAAATTTAATATAAACATTATCAAAAAATCTCAAAACTCAAAATTTTTGAAAATCACAAAATTCAGAAATTTTAGAAAAAAAAGATCACAAAATCAAAAATTCTCAAAAAAATGTAAAAAATCGAAATTTCCAAAAAAAAAGCCGTAAAATCCAAAATTTCGAAAAAATCTCAAAAATCAATATTTAAAAAAAACGCAAAAAGTCGAAACTTGAGCCTGTAAACGACAGAATTCGAATTTTTCAATCGGAGAAAAAATCCAAACAAAATTCCAGAAATCTCAATTTCTGCTCCGATTTCTCCAATTTTCTCCCCAAAATTTCAACCTTTCACTAATACCTTCTTTTTCAGCTAGCCGAGAGCTTCAAAATGAGCCCAAACACGACTTGTTCACCTCAAAATTGTGGTTTTTTAGGTCCCATCACAAAAACTACAGTAATACTAAAACTGCTCAGAAGCTAGTCGAATCTAGGCTCATTTCAAAACGCTCAACTAGCCGAGAAAGATTATAAAGGTTTTTTTTGCACATTTTCAGTAAATAGAAAAGTTGTGAGCAATTTCAAATTTTCGGAAAAAATTAAATTTTAATATGTCTTATTTTTTCAATTTTGAGCCAAAAAAACTCATAAAAACTACATAAAAACTCTGAAAACGTCATTTTTGGAAAAAAAAAAATATAAAAAATCACATCACTTCCTGGAAACTTGGGGTTTTTGACAAATGCCAATTTGCTATTATTTTCTGTCAAATGCTATTTTTCGTCAAATAACAAAAACGACGAAAAGTTGCTCAAGCGAGCAGCACCTCATCGTCAAATTGCTCATCATTGCTCATCATTAGCAAGAATCTCTCAAAAAGAAAACCACAATTTTTTGGAATATTTTAAAGGGATCAAAAGTTTTATACAAATCGCAAAAAAAGAAAAAATAAGTATTCTAGGTTTTCCACATAGAGCCCAAGAAGGAGGAGAAAAAGGGGCGGAGCTTGTAGGAATGAGAAGAAGAAGAATTGAGAGGAAATAAACAGGAAGATAAACGAGGTAGGACAAAATAGAGACCAGGAATATTGTTTTCTGTTTTTTATCGTTTTTAAATAAAACGGGTTATACTATTGTTATTTTGGGACAACTGAAAGTGTTAAAAAACCCAATTTCTGGGTAAATAATGCGTCAAAAATGATCGAAATTTGGTTTTAAAAGTCTGAAAATGCCTGAAAATGTTCAAAATTGTTTCTAAAAAGATGGAAAAACTGCTGAAAATGGTTGAAAATCGCCAAAATAGCTTTAGAATGATCTAAAAAGGCTAAAAATAGACCAATAATAGCCTAAAAATAGTCTAAAAATGACTGAAAATAGTCCGAAATAGCCAGAAAAAGCCTACAAATAGTCTAAAAACAGTCTAAAAATGACTGAAAATGGTCAGGAATAGCCCAAAAAAAGCCTAAAAATAGTCCAAAATAGCCTAAAAGTGACTGAAAATGGTCCAAAATAGAATAAAAATAGACCAATAAAAACCTGAAAATAGTCTTAAAATGACTGAAAATGGTCTGAAAAAAAGCCCGAAAAAGCCTGAAAATAGTCCAAAATAGCCTGAAAAAAGCCTAATAATAATGTTATAATGTCTGGAAATGGTCCAAAGTAGCCTAAAAAATGATGAAAAATTTGACTAAAAATAGTTCAATTTTTGATATTCAAAAACATTGAAAAATGGGTCCTAATCAGGTCACCTATTCATCAAAAATCGAACTTTTTTCTCGAAAACTGAATCCAAAAACTCAAATTTGACCTCTAGAAAATTCTAGAATCTAGAATAGAACTGGAACTAATCCGATTGCTCATCCTTCTTTTTTCATTCAAAAACTACTATTCAGAAAGTTTCTGAGTCCAGAAAAAGAAGAAAAAGACAATTACGCAATTGTTAATCCTTCTTTTTTTAAAAAAGAGATCTCCAAAAAGTGGGCGGAGCCTAACTGGAAAAGTCGAAATTTTCGATTCGAAATTAAAGAAAGGAGATAGAAGAGCTTATGGAAAAGTCATCCCAATCATCATTTTTGGGGCTCTTTTTGGCTCTCCTTTTCTTATTTCTCACCCCCTCAAAACGAGAATTTTCAATTCCAAATGGGAGAAAATTCTCGAAGGCATGGCGGAGGAAATGAAACCGAAATGTGAAGGAAATTAGAGAATACCACACACTACCATCACCCCCAAAAAAAGGGTATTCTCGTCATTTTTGGAGTTTTGTGGAGCAAGAAAAAAAACGACTAGAAGAAATTCTTAAAAATGCAAAAAAGTCTGAAAAAGGCAAGAGGAACGGAACCAACAGAACCAAGGAATTTTATTGAAGTTATGTCTAGAATGTCTGGTTGACCCATGGCACGACCTTTCTAGTACATAATTGACACAATGAGTATAAAAAAGGTCATTTCTGGAGAAAGAAACGTGACATGGCTACTGTCGCCGCCAAGATCTACCCTGGCCTTGGGGACGTCCACGTGGCAATCTGCAGAATTCACTATATAAGGAAGAAGATGGAGCCAAAAAGCAGTATTCGTCGCATGGCTTAAAAAATTCCAAGATTCAGGAAAGTGAATTTTCCTCAGGAAATCAGGAGAATTGAGTTTGGACCAGTTTGGCCAAGCCAGTGTCTCGCCATCCAGGAAGTTCAAATTCCAGGGAATACTCCATGAGGATAGGACCATCCAGAGCTAACCTTTTCTCACTGTACTCTAAGAAAAATGATTGCTCATCCTCAGTCTCTTATGGACCATTCAAAACAAAACGAGCAAAAGAGGTCTCCCGCGACAAGTACCCCCACCTCAAGAAACGAAAAAATATATGGAAAATTGACGTTTGTCGGTTATTCAAGTGGTCTCTTCTTTTTTTTGCCTTAAGAAAAGTGAAGAGAGAAAAGATAAAAATGGATGTTTTTCGAAAAAGTGAAGGCGTCAAAAAAGGCAGAAAAAAGAAAAAAAACACTCGAAATTCAAAGAATCCGGACGACCCTCTTTTATATGGACCCATTTGACCCAAGTGATTTGGACTACCGTACCCCTTACATGATAGGGTAATAGAATGCTCTAATGGACCTCCGCTCCCGCTTTGGTCTTAATGAGACTCTAATGGAGTTTCGTACAGTCCATAAAGCGAGGTTAACGGAGCACTCTGAAAAGAAGACTACTGTAGTTCTGATGACGTGGCTTAAATAGAAATGCGAAGGACGACAGGAAGCCGGAGACGCACCCTGTGGAGTTCTGGGATTCGAAAGTTGGTGAACGCAACTTGCGAAAGCTAGGCCACCATTGCCTAGAAAACAAACCATGTGAATATCAGATAATTTCTAGACCTTGAAAGTTGGTCGCCTAAAAACTCAAATTGCGAAAGTTAGGCCACCATCTTAAAATAGCATAAATGACACTAATTGTATATCAGGTCATTCCTAGAGCATGCAAGTTGGTGGCCTAGAAAACCGGCAAAAATGTCTCAGATCTTTTCAAAGTTATCCCAAAAAAAGAGACGCTCTTCGTCTTATTGAAGAAGCGGTCTTCTTGACCAAATTTTAATGCTCCAATGCATTTCGATTTGTGACGTCTTCTTTTAGAAGACGTCTCGCTCATCACCATCATCATCATCTTATACTACGATAATTAGTGTTTATGCAAATTTATGCACCCCGAATTTCTTTTCATCCGCCCTCTTTCTCATAATTTCTTCCGAGAAATTGAGAAATTGGAAGTGACCCAAAATTTTTTGGAATTTTGGGGAAAAACTTGGGCGCCTATTTGATATGTGTCACGCTAGTAGCACAGAATGATTTAGGAGTTTTTCGAAAAATTTGAAGAATTCTGAATACTCTGACGTCTTCTTGAAAAAACAATCCAATGGAGCACACTTTCTCTAATGATCAAAAACCTGGAAATGTGATAAAATTGAAACAAAAGACACCAAAAACCAGCGAAAAGTGGAATCGAAATGTAACTAATTTGGAGGAGAAGACAAGGAAATGACTTTGGGCGAATTTCAAAAAATGAAAAACTAGAAGACGTCACATCTCCAGAAGACGTGGGAGAATTCACTGATATGGAATTTGATAGAAAACCAAGAATGAAAAATGGGCCTAGAGAAGTCCAGAAACAGTCTAAAAAGGTTCGGTTAATGAACGCTCAAACATTCGAACCTTTAACGTTGGTGGCCTAGAAAATTCAACTCGCAAAAGTTAGGCCACCGCGTTAAAATGAACTAGAAAACACACATCAGGTCATTTCTAGGTCGCCAAAGTTGGTGGCCTAGAAAACTCAAATTGCAAAAGTTAGGCTTCCACGTTATGATAACCTAGAAAACACACATCACGTCATTTCTGGGTCACCAAAGTTGGTGACCTAGAAAACTCAAATTGCGAAAGTTAGGCCATCATGGTAAAGGTGCTAATAACACCCGAATTTTTCTCTGAAAATCCGGTCGAATAGACCAGGAAGCATAGAAGACGTTCAAATTGAAGACGTGAGAAAGTTCCGCAGAAAATCAAGTATCGTGATTTTCTTGTTTACTCAAAAAGTGAAACGAAGAAGAAGAAGGGAGAAAAATGAACGAACTCGATAAGGAGGACCCCCATATAATTTCCTCCTGGTCTTCCGTTTTTTGAAGAAAAAACGAAAAGAAGTAGACGTTTTTTTGTCTTTTTAAAATACGAGAAAACGGCTGGAAAAAACATCCGGACACACAGACACACCGAAGACACTTGAAAAGGCCTTAGTCAAAAGGGGCGGAGCCTCATAAGCTCCGCATCTTTTTCATGATGGACCGGGACCGGAATGTAATTGATGATCAAAAGGGGCGGAGCATCGTTTTTTGATTAAAAAAACGAATTTTGGAATTTTTGAAAATTTTAAGACCTCATAATAAAATTACGCTCTTTTGATGAAAAGTATGAAGAATTGATCATATGAAATTCTTTGTTTTTCTCATCCAGATGTTTCAAAAAATTGCCTCCTCCGATCACAACTTTTTCCCATTTTTTTCCGGCAGTCGCCCACCAGAAAGTTGAAATTTTCAAAAGAGTTTCGCACTGAAAATGCACTTTTTAAAACGGCTTAAAATAGGATTTAAAATTGAAACTTGAAATCAAGAAAAAAAAAGAGCTCAATTATCTCGGTTGCTATGAGAGATATCAAAAAGTTGTCAATTGATAAAATGTTGGTGATAAAATGATAAACAATTCACCAGTTGACAAAATTTTGATATCTTTTATAGGAACTGAGATAGTTGAGCACAAAAATAGGAAACTTTAAATTTTCGAAAAAACCTGAAAATCCCCAATTTTCATTCCAGAAGGTCGCTTGCAAAATGGGACGAATCTATGTGAATGGCGAGCAGATGACCGACGTGGACTATGTGATGAAGAATGGCGATCGAGTGGAGCATTGGGTTCATCGGCATGAACATCCGGTGAGGACATCTGGATTTTGGGAAACACAGACTTTTGGAAAAATATTTTTTTTTCTGGAAATCTGAAATTGCTCACAACTCGATTGATTTTTGATGTTTTGCAACCAAACCTCTATATTCCTCTACTGCTAGTCAAGAGCTTCAAAATGAACCTAAACTCGATCAGATTCTGAGCAATTTTAGGGTTACTGTAGTTTTCGTGGTGGGACCCAAAGTTTGCAAATTTTGAGGGAAAGTAGTCGTATTTGAGTTTATTTTGAAACTCCCGACTAGCTGAGTAAGAATATATTAGTTGTAGATCGATTATTAGGCCTGTTTGGGCCTCACCACGAAACTACAGTAATCCCAAAAAATTTCAGAATCTAGTCGTGTTTGGGCTTGTTTTGAAGCTCTCGATGAGCTGAAGAAGAATCTAAGAAAAATTAGATTTTCTGAATTTTTTTTCCTCCAGGTCCGCGACCTGCCCATCCGAATAATCTCTGAAACCGATGACCTCCTGGTCATCGAGAAACCCCCATCCCTGCCGGTCCACACATGTGGCCAATACGCAATTCACACAGTTTTGGGACAATTGAGAGAAAACGAGGAAAAAACTGGACTTCGTGTACTTCACCGCCTGGATCGTGCCACGTCTGGAGTCCTCCTCTTTGCCAAAAACTACGAAACCGATCTGGAATTCAAAACGACGCTGAAACAGGGCGAATGGAGTAAAGAATACGTTTGTAAAGTGGATGGAGTGTTTCCGGAGTGAGTTTTGGTCCCCCAAAACTGTTGGAAAATTCGCTCTACTGAAAATTCGAGCTTCATTGCTCAGCTAGAGCTATATTGCTCAGCTTCGCTTCAAAAAAAAAATTAAGCTTTTTCCAGCATTTTTAAAGCTCAAAACCGCTAAAAACCGGGAATTCTCAATGGAGCGCATTTGCACTTTTTTCTCATATTTTCATTTTTCCAGCGAGGAGCAAGTCTGTGAGCAACCTATCGGTCCATTGGTTATCTCAATGGGAATCCAATGTGTTCGACCCGATGGAAAGGAGGCGAAATCCACGTTTAGGTATATTGTAGCAAATTATGACCTAATTTTTGGATTTTCTAGGTCATGGCCTAATTTTTTTAGGTCATGACCTAATTTTTTCTAGGTCATGACCTAGTTTTTTCTAGGTCATGACCTAATTTTTGGATTTTCTAGGTCATGGCCTAATTTTTTTAGGTCATGACCTAATTTTTTCTAGGTCATGACCTAGTTTTTTCTAGGTCATGACCTAATTGTTTCTAGGTCATGACCTAGTTTTTTCTAGGTCATTACCCATTCTTTCAAGGTCATGACCTAATTTTTAGATTTTCTAGGTCATGGCCTAATTTTTGGAATTTCTAGGTCATGACCTAATTTTTTCTAGGTCATGACCTAATTTTTTCTAGGTCATGACTCAATTTTTCTAGGTCATGACCAAATTTTTAAAGCTTTTTTCCCCAGAAAACTGTGGTCGGACGGCACTCATTCTGTGGTCCAAGTGCACATTGAAACCGGACGAACCCTAATTTTTAGATTTTCTAGGTCATGACCTAATTTTTAGATTTTCTAGGTCATGACCTAACTATTAGATTTTCTAGGTCATGACCTAATTTTTAGATTTTCTGGGTCATGACCTAATTTTTTCTAGGTCACGACATAACTTTTTCTAGGTCATGACCTAATTTTTAGATTTTCTAGGTCATGACCTAATTTTTAGATTTTCTGGGTCATGACCTAATTTTTTCTAGGTCACGACATAACTTTTTCTAGGTCATGACCTAATTTTTAGATTTTCTAGGTCATGACCTAATTTTTAGATTTTCTGGGTCATGACCTAATTTTTTCTAGGTCACGACATAACTTTTTCTAGGTCATAACCTAATTTTTTCTAGGTCATGACCTAGTTTTTTCTAGGTCATGACTCAATTTTTCTAGGTCATGACCAAATTTTTAAAGCTTTTTTCCCCAGAAAACTGTGGTCGGACGGCACTCATTCTGTGGTCCAAGTGCACATTGAAACCGGACGAACCCACCAGATCAGAGTGCATTCTCAGTTTTTGGGTAATTTTTAAATTTTCAAAAATACGAAAATTAACACTTTCCAGGCTACCCAATCGTTGGCGATCAACTCTACAATTCAACGGTTTGGGGGCCAACAAAAGGAAAAAATGCGGAATACCAGAAGGGTTATGATGATGTACAGTAATCCCTAGGAACACAGAATTCTAAAAAAATCGATTTACAGCTCTGCGAAGACGTTCGAAACACGCACAAGTCTGAAAATTGGCACGAAAAACCGAATCCAGAATTCGAGCGACGAATGGAGAATCTGGCGTCTGATTCCACTGACGTCACTCCAGAATCACCGGGAATCTCCAGTCAAGAACGTCCAGAGTTTGATGAAATCTGTCAGAAATGCAACGTGGAATCGAAGAAAGTACCTGATAGTCATTTTCAATTGTTTTTGCATTGTTTGAAATACGAAACACCGAAATGGTGTTATAAGACGGATCTGCCAGAATGGGCGGTTCAAAAATGAGGATCTTTTGTTGTTTCGTGGATTGTTGTGATGTTTATTGATTTGTTTTTTTTCTTCAAGTTGTTGAGTTAGTAAATACGCTCTATTTTAACTTTCTCTGTTTTTTCTTAATTAGTAAATACGCTCTAATGAGAATAGGTATCAGAAATCTTCATTTCGTCAAACGAGAAGCCACTACTGAGAGCTTCTGGGATACCGTTAATATTCCATTTTGGTTTCGGGGATTACTGTAATTAGGATCAATTTCTGGAAGTGGGATTGAGAATAAAAAATCAGAATATTCCAAAAGTGTTTGAAACCGGAATTAGCGGGAATTCCGAAAATTTCAAAAAATAATCTGAAGTCGGAAGATTCCGGAACCTCTAATGTTCCAAAATTTACATATTTTTGGAAAATCCAAAATTTCGAAAGTTTTGAAAATTGGAATATTCTGAAATGTTCACAATTAGAATGTCAAGGATTTCCGAAAACTTCGAATCGCAATTTCCCCAAATTCTTGCGTTTCGGAATTTTTGAAATTGGAATATTCCGGAATTCCGAGATTCGGAATATCTCAAAATCAGAATATTTCGGGGTTCCGGGATTCTAATTTTTAAATAATCGGAATATTCCGGAAATCCAAAATGTCCAAAATAGGAAAATTCCGAACTTTTAAAGATAGGAATATTCCGGAATTCGGAACTTTCCAAAATGAGAACATTCCGAAATTTCAAAATTTTGAAAATCGGAATATTCCAGAAATCCGAAAATTGGAATATTCTGGAATTCGGGAATTCCGATATTTAAAAATCGAAATATTCCGAAAAAAACCATCCCGAACATCCCTGGATCCATCTCACCTACCCTCTCCTTAAAATCAAATCGATCAAAAAATTTCGATACGGGGGACATGTGGTGATAAGCACAATGACGTTCAATGTAGAGTGCAAACAAGCAATCATCACCAACATTTCGATTATCACTGAAAAACACTTTTAATATCTTTGGATCCAAAAAATTCTCCTACATTGTGATCCATTGATTCCTAAAACAATCACAAGTGCACACACAATGGGTGGCACAAAAACCACTGTTGACGTGGTAAATTGAGCCAATAGGCTCCAGATGGCTGTACGATGTTTTCGATAATTAGCTCTGGAGACTTTGGGTTTTAGAAGACGTAGCATTCGGGATATATTCAGAAGAACTAGCACGAACACGAAAAATGCCAAAAATCCTCCAATAACAGTGCAGAGCAAGAAAATTGCGAAATTTGGAGATGGCTCGTAAATGGAGAAATTGGGAAGAGATCGGAATTCGGATAGATATTCCGGATAGTTCTACAATATTAGAAATTAAAACAAATCAAAAATGTCCAGAGTTACTATTTGAATATAATCGATTTTCTGGTCTTCTGGAACATTTAAAGTGCTGAAGACACACGGAACACTTGTAACAAAAATGGAGAAATAGAGTGCCATGAAGATAATTAAAGGTTTTGGAATCTCATATTTTTTCAATGCGCCTGCAATTGATTGGTGTTTTTGGACGAAGCAAATGATCATAGCACCAATTTGATAAGTGAACAAAATTGACATTCCAGTCTGGAAATTTCAGTATTTTACAGATGGATAAATAGTAATTTCCGGTAATTTAAAAAAAGATACCATTGCAAAATGTGTGGTTACACCCAAACGAATTCCAAAACCCATTACATATCCGGCTAATAAAGGATACAAGGGAACTGGCTGACATAATCCAGTTAGATGGAAATCAGTTAGTAAGCATGTTATCTGCAAAAATTGTAATAATGATTTTCATAAAACCTGCAACAGAAGCCCCCCCCCCCCCCCCCCCCAAACCGTCAACTTTAAGTTTAGTTATCTCGGTTCCTCTGAAAGATATTGAGATGTTATCAATTGATAAATTGTTTATCACATTACCACCAATATTTTATCAGTTGACCACTTTTTGATATCTTTTACAGGAATGTAGATGATTAAGCTCAAAGTTGACGCTTCGGGTGGGCTTCTACTAGAGGTAATACGGTAGTTGTGAACCTTTTTTGTAGTTTTGAAGATGGAACAATTCAAAATTCCAACCTTCTTCAATTTTTGAATTTTCGAATTTTTGTAACATTTCTGATATTCGAACATTCCGAATCGTTAAGTTTCTGAGCTCAACAGCTAGTTTTATACCTGAAAATTTAGCAAAAAATAGCGAAAATTATCAATTTTGTCACTCTTGAACAAAACCAAATAAATAGAAAATGAATCCAAGAACAGAGAGAATATCCCAATGAAACTATAATATGTTGATAACCAGTAAGCAATCGAAAAGTCAATTGCATACATATTAAAATGAATTAAAAAATATATTAGAACAGGGCCCTCGAGCAGGTGAATAGTTTTTGGGAGCAAAATCCAAAATTGCAAAGTTAGCATATTGTTTTTGGTGGTTGATGCCTGATGAAAAGTAGATTGGGGAAGGTATAATTATGCATTAAGAACACAAAAATTTCGACATTTTTTCTGAAGACTCGAGTTTCGTTAATCAAGACTTATTTTGATGCTCACATGATTTTCAGGTTTCACAAGCACTACTTTGAGCTCACTTATCTCGATTTCTATAGAAGATATCAAAAATCTGTCAACAGTAATGTAACTGAAAGAACTCCCAGAAACACTAACTGCTAAAAGACACTATTGAAAACAACGAGATGCAGAGAGAAAGTGAGAACCACAGACAAACGCTATGCACTCAAAGAGACCTGTGTAACCTGAAGACTAGAAGAATACAAAACACAGATTTTCTATAAAACACTATTTATTGAATTTACTCAATAAACCACTATAAAACCTTTAAAACCAGTGAGCCACACTTTAACGGGTCGTCACCAATCGTGAGCGAACACCAGCGAAAACTAAAGAAAACGATGAGAATTTGCCGAGAGAGGAGACGCGTTTTGGCGCGCACACAGTTTCGCGCGCGGATACAGTAATCCACACCTCTTGCACGTGTGTTCGGGGGAGATTTCTCTCCTTTAGACTTGGAAAGAGGATTTTAAAAGAGAAAACACGGTAGAATACCGTACACAACTAATAAATTGTTTATCATGTTATTACCTATATTTTATCAGTTGATAAAATTTTGATAACTTTCATAAGAACCGAGATAATTGAGCTCAAAGTGGGATGACTCTGGCTCATTATTTTTGCTTATATTTTGCTTATTTATGTTCCATAAAATGATATTTTCCAAAAACTTGATTTCAAAAGACTTCATAAATCGAATGCGAATAAATTTCAAAAAAATGTTATCTCCCCAAGTGCGAAATCACCGCCGACGGTCGTTGGGTTACTGTAGACATTCCGAATAGTTTGGCATCTCTGAAAAATTCCTAATTTTCCGATTTTTCTGAAACTTCCAAAACCCACTCTCTTCTCAAAATCAAATTAATCACGAATTTTCGATACGGCGGGAATGTTAAAATCAGAACAATTGTGTTAAGTGAGGAATGGAATGAGGCAATGATGACAAGATATTTCACGATTACTGTAATTTTGCAATTTTGTAAGCGCCATAAAACCTCTAATAGAAGGGCCCTCTAACCTTAAACTTTGAGCCAGTTTTCTCGGTTGCTGTGAACGATATCAAAATTGTCTCAACTGATAAAATATTGATGGCATTATGATAAACATTTTATCAGTTGATGCACTTTGATATCTTGCACAGGAACTGAGATAAATTGGCTCAAAGCTAAAAGTTAGGGGCCCTTCTATCACAGGTTTTACGGTTATCTGATTTTTAAATGAAGTTTTGAAGATACTCACATTGCGCCCCATCCACACCCATCAACACGATAAATACAAAAAATATGGGCGGTACAAAAATGACAGATGACGTGGCGAATTGAGCCAATAAACTCCAGATGGCGGCACGATGTTTTCTATAATTGGATCTCGAGACTTTTGATTTCAGAAGCGCCAACATTCTAAAAATATTTAGAATCACTGCAACCAGCGTTAAAAACGCTATAATGCCTCCAACCAGCGAGTAGATCACAAAATTTGCGAAATAATCAGATGGGTCATAAATGGAGAAGTTTGGAAGGGATAGAAATCCAGAGACATATTCTGGATAGTTCTGGAAACACTGGCATTACTGTAGATAGCCAACTTTTTACGAATCGGGGCTACCGTTTTCACATAATCCAACTGTTTGTCTTCTGGAACATTACAAGTAGCAAAAATGCCAGTGACACTAAAAGTGTAGATCAAAACATAAGAAATCATCAGGAAGGCCAGATAATTTGGCATTTGATATTTTTTCAGAGTTCCCGCAATTGCCTGATGCTTTTTAACAAAACAAGTGATCATAGAACCAATTTGATAGATGAGCAGAAAAATTATGATGCACTGAAAAATATATCTTGTCGCGGCAGCAGTAGTCCTCCTGCACGACTACAAACTACAAATATTTATAGAGACTCCACGTGTCTCAAATACACTAAAATCTTTCAACTAATAATCTATTCCCGTGAATTCCAACGTGACCAAGCTCTTCCAATCTTCCAATCTGCCCTGACCTCCACGACCTCCACGTCAAGCTCCGCCCCCTCTGATGGCTATAAAAGGAAACGAATTCGACAGAAAGATCAGTTTACTTCTTCTGAAGACCAACGTCCCAACTGCTCCCGAACAACTCTCGCACCAAATGTCCGAACTACCAAATGCTGGAAAGAAGACTGCTGGACCCACTGGAAAGGCCAATACTCCTCGAGTCATGGAAGTCAGTGGCAAGATGATGGCACCGCCGAGACATGGTCAGTTAACTCGATTTGTTCACAATAAAGACTATTAGTTTTTATTCCTTGTACTTACATTCCTACTCTGGACCACCGGCCTTAGAGTAGGAGCATGCCGGTCAATGCACCATGAT